CGCGCGCTGTCAGCTCGGCAAGTGTTATGTACCTAAGCCCCGATAGGTGGCGCGCGCTGTCAGCTCGGCAAGTGTTATGTACCTAAGCCCCGATAGGTGGCGCGCGCTGTCAGCTCGGCAAGTGTTATGTACCTAAGCCCCGATAGGTGGCGCGCGCTGTCAGCTCGGCAAGTGTTATGTACCTAAGCCCCGATAGGTGGCGCGCGCTGTCAGCTCGGCAAGTGTTATGTACCTAAGCCCCGATAGGTGGCGCGCGCTGTCAGCTCGGCAAGTGTTATGTACCTAAGCCCCGATAGGTGGCGCGCGCTGTCAGCTCGGCAAGTGTTATGTACCTAAGCCCCGATAGGTGGCGCACGCTGTCAGCTCGGCAAGTGTTATGTACCTAAGCCCCGATAGGTGGCGCGCGCTGTCAGCTCGGCAAGTGTTATGTACCTAAGCCCCGATAGGTGCCGCGCGCTGTCAGCTCGGCAAGTGTTATGTACCTAAGCCCCGATAGGTGGCGCGCGCTGTCAGCTCGGCAAGTGTTATGTACCTAAGCCCCGATAGGTGGCGCGCGCTGTCAGCTCGGCAAGTGTTATGTACCTAAGCCCCGATAGGTGGCGCGCGCTGTCAGCTCGGCAAGTGTTATGTACCTAAGCCCCGATAGGTGGCGTGCGCTGTCAGCTCGGCAAGTGTTATGTACCTAAGCCCCGATAGGTGGCGCGCGCTGTCAGCTCGGCAAGTGTTATGTACCTAAGCCCCGATAGGTGGCGCACGCTGTCAGCTCGGCAAGTGTTATGTACCTAAGCCCCGATAGGTGGCGCACGCTGTCAGCTCGGCAAGTGTTATGTACCTAAGCCCCGATAGGTGGCGCGCGCTGTCAGCTCGGCAAGTGTTATGTACCTAAGCCCCGATAGATGGCGTGCGCTGTCAGCTCGGCAAGTGTTATGTACCTAAGCCCCGATAGGTGGCGCGTGCTGTCAGCTCGGCAAGTGTTATGTACCTAAGCCCCGATAGGTGGCGCGCGCTGTCAGCTCGGCAAGTGTTATGTACCTAAGCACCAATAGATGGCGGGCGCACTAGGCAGCAAGTTGGTAAACAATAGTCGCCATCTTGAGGGGTGTAGCCAATCGCCAGCCGTTTGGGTCTCTGACATTACTTCCTTAATTTACCATTATTTTTATCCATTTAACATAGTTTATTTCTTTTTATCCCTCAAACTAATTAACAATTTTTTTTTTTTTTTTTACTTATCCTTTTAGTCTAAATTAGACAAGATCTTGGAGGTCGTGCTCGTAAAGAAGCTCAAGAACTCTTCTTGGTTCACTGTACAGGGATCTTTTGTCCTTTCCAATGCAATTTAGTAAATGTTGGGGAGTGGCCTCTTCGGTTTTGCACCTAGTGCACATGGGGAAGCTTTTGGCTCCCTCTTTATAGACTAGAGGGCGCAGGTGACCAGATTTCCACCTGGCCAACTGTGTCGATTCCCTTCTGTTTAGTTGGAGGGTCTGTTTTTTGGGGTTTTCTGCCTGGTACCAAGAATGATGGAAACTATCTCGATGGTTCCTTATTAGTTGTAGTTTTAGTTTATTGGTATGGTCCCTTGCTGAAAGATAGGTCTCGGAGTTCACCGCATCGGGATGTCCAGCTGCTCCTTCCTTAGCCAATCTGTCGGCCTCCTCATTTCCAGGGACTCCCACATGTGATGGAATCCATTGTAGACTTATTTTGGTATTTTTATTCAGTTTGTTGATTTCAATTAACAATTTAAAGTCATCTAATAAATTATTATTTTATTCTACGTCACCTTCATTACTGTGACAATATTTATTCCAATAGATGGTGCAAGCCATCAGTAACTTTCAGTTTCACAACATCAGGAGATGTCTTAATTTACCCCCCTGATCCCGGTACAATTTCACTTTTGTTTTTTCACACTTCAAAATATTCCTTATGACAAAGTGAAACCATTTCATTAAATGATACTTCAGAAGTATGTAATGTAGCACAAGGTGAAAAGAGCAAATTATATATACAGTTACGAGCGTCATCTCTGTCACCGTTTGCTTTTTATTTGGAATGGCGCTCTCCTATTGGTTGGCTACGATCACATGGCTACGATGGCGCCGCCACTAGGCGAGACACTTTGTTTTTGACTTTACCCCCCCCACTAGTTTTTTGGTTTTTGTAACTATTGTGTTGGAGTGGGTCGCTCCTTAAATAAATTCATATATTAGTTAATAACTAAATGGAATCCTCTCTTTCTTTTTCCCAGTAAGAGACGCCTACGGAAGCCAACAGTACATAGACAGATAAAGCACATAGGCTATAGTTATTAACTAATATATGCATTTATTTAAGGCGCCAATTTATAATTGTAACAAATAGTATTTGAATCAAAACATTCAATCGGGTAAAACACGGGCGTTGCCCGGGTCATTCGGCTAGTAAATAGATAAGACACAATTTGGATTATAAACACAAGGTAATAAGACCAAATCCAAATAAATAAATAGTGTGTGATGTTTCAGTAGCAGCATTGTTACCATCTTCAGACAAAAGTACTGAATGAGAAATTTTACCACAGCATGTTTTAAATAGTTACTGTTATCAAGTGTGTAAACAAGATATCAGGTAAGAAGAAGATAGTTTTCTGAGAAACAGAATATTATTCTTAGAATTAAAAGTAGGTTTTTTCCAGTTCAGAAAACTATCTTCTTCTTATCTTCTATCTTGTTTACACACTTGATAACAGTAACTATTTAAAAACATGCTATGGTAAAATTTCTCATTCAATACTTTTGTCTGAAGATGGTAACAACGCTGTTTCCGAAACGTCACACACTATTTATTTATTTGGTCTTATTACCTTGTTTTGAGCAAATAAATAGTTTGTGACATTTCTGTAACAGCGTTGTTACCAACATCAGACTAAAGTACTGAATGAGAAAATGGTCTGATGATGGTTACAATGATGTTACAGAAACATCTCACACTATTTGGTCTTATTGCCTTATGTTTATAACCTAAAATCCAAATTGTTACCTAATCATTTCTAATGTAGTCTTGGTTCCTCTTTGCACTAAACTAGTTGACACAGAGAGTGACAACTTTGTTTCATAACTGTTGTTTCTTATCCCCTTGTGTAAAGATTACACTAATTCCATGCTCCTCGAGCTGTTTGATGATAAGCAGTGACCTCTCCTAAAGGTCCTGTTTAGTACATCTAAAACAATGTGTTCTGAAAGCTGCAGGTGCCAAGCTACATTTTGGACAAGTGGGGGTATATTTTGTTGTTATTTTCTATCTTCAATGGCTTGAGATGGCCTGTTGTTGTTAGTGTTGTTTGATGTTGTCTGAGCTCCTCCACTCCACTGCTGTGCTTAGGTGGGATCCTCCAGTTCTTATTGAGTTTTCTAATGTTTCTAATCTCCGTGTACAAAGATTACACAAATTCCATTAGTGTATGCATGTCCAGCTGTTTGATAATAAGCAGTAACCTAAGATCGCTGTTAAGGTCCTGTTTAGTACATCTAATATAATGTGTTGTGGAATCTGCAGGTGCTATGATACATTTTGGGACAAATGGGGGAGAGATAAGAAAGAAGACAAATGGGGGGTAGATTTTGTTGTTATTTCCTATCTTCCATTTACACCAAACATTGTGTTGTTGTTTCTTATCCCCTTGTACAAAGATTACACGAATTCCATGAGTTCATGCTCCTCGAGCTGTTTAATGATGAGCAGCGACCTCTCCCAAAGGTCCTGTTTAGTGCATCTAATGCAATGTGTTCTCACCAATCATTGTAAATGAGAGATGTGTAGAGAACAAAGTGTCTGACTGTGACAGCGTACACAAAGAACCCAGACAGCATTCCACACTGTCAAATCAACTACACTACTTCAGGGTGAACTCCCCACAAGAAAAATCAAAGATAGAAGTCATCGTAGAAGAAATACTCTCAGCTATCAGCAGTTTCAAACTCAACGGCGTACCTGATGCTCTCAAGAAGGTAAGAGAATAACTAAGGCTTCCATTAATCCAAATAGCTAACATGTAAGATGGACAGGCGCTGTGCTCTAGACTGATGGCCGCCATCAGACAGCACCAGAGTGAAGTGGTCTCCAGAGCCTCCCAGACAGTCCCATCTGACATTCTGGCCCATCCCTGATTGGTCACATCTCCCTGTACTACATTGAATAAATGGGATTCCTGCCTGGAAACCATCTCTTCATTTAAACACAAAGTAATAAGACCAAATAATATGTGACATTTCAGTAAGTGTCATCAGACTTAGACTGAATGAGTTGTTGTTTCTTATCCCCTTGTGTAAAGATTACACAAATTCAGATTCCATGCTCCTCAAACTGTTTTATGATAAGCAGCAGCCTCTCCCAAAAGTCCTTTTTAGTGTATCTAATGTAATGTGTTCTGGAGCTGCAGGTACCAAACTACATTTTGGACAAGTGGGGTAGATTTTGTTGTTATTTTCTATCTTCAATGGCTTGAGATGGCCTGTTGTTGTTAGTGTTGTTTGGTGCTGTCTGAGGTTCAGAGCGCCTCAACTCCACTGTACCAGCTGTGCTTAGGTGTGAGTTCTTGTTTATTTTTGTTTTGGCTACTCTCAACCTATCTTTAAAAGTTATTTTTCCATGGCAAGGATTCTTTTGTTGCCTTTTTTTTTCGCTAGCACATCAGCAACTTCATTACTGTTTGTTTCATTAAAGTTTGTATTAGTTGTAAAAGATACTTTCATGCTTAATTTGCACTATATGTTTTTTTTTGCTTATCCCTAGTACACGTGGTACAGGCCATGATAATAATGGTGGGTATAGGTAGGCGACTGCTTTTACTGTAAGTGCACCACATGTCTACACATGTAAAAAGCAGTTCGACTTTGCACTTACAAATGTGCCAGAGCCCCGTTTGGTTGCTTGCACTCGCTGGTGGGGTTGGACTTTTACAAGAATCGGGAGTCATTGGAACATTTTTTTTTTAATCAGAAAAAAAAAAAAAAAAGTGTCCAATACGGGAATCGAACCCGGGTCGTAGCGGTTGAAAACCAACAGGTTCGACCATCCTTCCACTATATGGGTGAACCAACAATACACCAGTCCTTATTTGCATATATAACAGATTTCCTGTATATGCAAATTCAAACATATTCTCTCATTAAAAAAATATATATTAAATAATAAAAATTATTTACATGCTAAAAAGGTACAACTTCCTTAAATTTTGTCCATGAATGTACATATTCAACAGGCAGGGTGATCTGGTTAAAAAAAAAAAGAAATATACAAAATAGAATAAAATCTTTATAAAAGATACACACACAAATCATATATGTACAATATATTACAAGGGGAGGAAAGAGTTGAAAGAATTCTTAAAAAAAAAAGAAAGAAAAAGGTGAATGCCGCATAGAAGTAGACAATGAGCTGTGTATCTGTAAATGTCATCAAAATTGATAAAGTCCACAATTTGGATTAGAAACACAAGGTAATAAGACCTAAACTCAAATAAACAGTATGTGATGTTTCAGTAACAGCATTGTCGCCATCATCAGACAAATGTACAGAATGATAAAACTATCATGTTTTTAAATAGTTAGTACTGTTATCAGTGTTTTGTTGTAAACAGAATAACAGATAAGAAGAATGAATAAGGCACAATTTGGATTATAGATTATAAACACAAGGTAATAAGACCAAATCCAAATAAATAGTGTGTGACGTTTCGGTAACAACGTTGTTACCATCTTCAGACAAAAGTACTGAATATCTTCTGATATATCATGTCTCTCTCCACCAGTAAAACTGTAAATATGTAAATTTGTCCTTTTTCTCTCTCCCAGGGATCTCTAGAGTAACAGTTCTCAATGTCATCCCAAGATAATAAGGCCAATGATAAGGTACAATTTGGATTATATATTTAGTAAAACAAGGTAATAAGACCCAATCTCCAAATAAATAAATAGTGTGTGACGTTTCTGTAACGTTACTTAAAAACGTACTTTTGTCTGAAGATGGTAACAACGTTGTTACCGAAACGTCACACACTAAAATTATGTTGACACAACAGTACTGACTACAGTCCTGCTAAAATGAACCCCTGGGTTATTATAGTGAACAAAGTATAACAAACCTGATATAAACCCCATTTTATAATACCCATGAACTATGGCTATAACAAACCATGTCTATAGTGAACCACAGTCTCATTGGGGTTTGCTATTGACATTAAAAACATGCTGTGACATTTTTTCTCATTCAGTAAAAGAGAATTAGACCTAATCCAAATAATTTATTAGTGTGTAACGTTTCGGCAACAACATTGTCACCATTATCAGACAAAACACGACGCCACACACTAATAAATTATTTGGATTAGGTCTTATTCTCTTTTATTATAATCTATAATTAAAATTGTGCTTTATCATTTTCATTCAGTACTTATGTTTGATAATGGTAACAACGCTGTTACCGAAACATCACACACTATTTATTTATTTATTTTAGTCTTACTACCTTGTGTCAGGAAAGTTGGCGATATGTGTTGAGGAGAACAGAAATCAATTCTATGAACAGTCACAGCTTCTATCCATGGTGACAGCCACTGGAACATCCCAGTCCTTGGTCATGTTGATATCATCAACCAGACAGACAGACGGACAGACAAGAGTCAGTTAGGTAGAGGAGGAGTCAGGGAGTCTGGGAGGTGGTCAGCCAACATGATCCCCTGGTCCCTGTGTTGGTCCACTTCCTCCACATAGCCAAGCCAGTAGATCACTAGTCCGGGGCCAAACCTGCTCACACAGCAGTACAGAACACATTAGATGTACTAAACAGGACTTTTGGGAGAGGCTGCTGCTTACCATCAAACAGCTTGTGGAACATGAACTCATGGAATTTAATCTTTACACAAAACTCCGCCTTTGCCGGTCCCAAGCCCGGATGAAAAAGGAGGAGGGGGAGCAGTAACAAGCTCGCTAAAAAACCTGGGCTCAGCTGGCCTGGCTGATAGTACCCTGTAAGGGCTCCTAATCCAGGTATATAGGATGAGCAGCGTTTGTACTCCATGTTAGGAGCGGCTGCACATGGTGTCTGTTCCTCATGTCAGAGGCGGCCATTTCTTTTGGAGCTAAGTCAGCCTGTCACTGAGTAGTGCTCCCAGTCTTAATGACAGACGCATTCTACTTCACCCAGTGTGGAGATAAGAAAGAAGAAGAAGAATCTTTACAAAAGGGGATAAGAAACCACAGTACTGAACTAACACTCTCCAGGAAAAGTTCAACGGATACTTAGACACCAACTGCACGGCCCCGCAACCTCTCTAATTCAACAGAGAGTGTTACAGGTGAAGTAGACTGAGCAAATGAGACTTAAGATTATACCATTAAGTATTTATGCCAATGATAAAGCACAATTTGGATTATAGATTATAATACAAGAAAATAAGACCTAATCCAAATAATTAATTAGTGCGTGGCATTTCGGCAACAACATTGTCACCATCATCAGACAAAAGAATAAAAGAATTGCCAAAATGTCACACACTAATAAATTATTTGCATTTATTCTTTTGTCTGATGATGGTAACAATGTTGTTGCCGAAACGTTACACACTAATAAATTATTTGGATTAGGTCTTATTTTATTGTGTATCATTTATGCCAATATTTATTGCCACAGAAAAAACTTACTTTTAAAGAAATAGAGATAGTAGCCAAAACAAAAATAAACAAGAACTCCCACTTAAGCACAGTTGGTACATTGGAGTGGAGGAGCTCTGAACCTCAGACAGCATCAAACAACACTAACAACAACAGGCCATCTCAAGCCATTGAAGATAAAAAATAACAACAAAATCTACCCCACTTGCCCAAAGAACACATTGTATTAGATGTACTAAACAGGACCTTTGGGAGAGGTCACTGCTTATCATCAAACAACTTGAGGAGCATGGACTCATGGAATTTGTGTAATCTTTGTACAAGGGGATAAGAAAAACAACAGAAGAGCGAAACCAAGTCTAACAACCAGCTGATATGACTATGGATTGATGGTCTTGGAGTAGCCTAGTTGAGGAGGTATACAGAACTGACTTCCACAAACACTTGCTCTAACATTCCTATATATATGAAAAAAATAGTACAAATGTAATATTGTACTGGGAGAAGGTGCATAAATTAAGAAAAAAGGCATCTCCTTATCATGCAACTGAAAAGATGGGTATTTGGCCAATTCTGGAATAATTAGAAATCAACGAGAATAGTTGATATTTATTCCGATAGATGGCGCAAGCCATCAGCAACTTTCAGTTGCACGATAAGGAGATGTCTTTTTCTTAATATATATATATAATAATCCTTGTCTTGCAAGACAACTTCTTTCCTTTGATGAACTTTTTTTTCTCTCAAATAACTTGCTCTAACACAGATTATTTCTTCAAATTCCAATTTTAAATTTCACCAACAATTAAATTAAAGATGGTTGTTTGAAAGGAGACTAGGCCGGAAAGTGAGAGAGAGATTTTAAAATGTTAAATTATTTTTGAATGTGAAATTATAGGGAGGTTGTGTTTCTATTGAAAGTACCCATGAGCAATAAGATCACATCTTCCATTAAAAATAACCTCCCACCATGATTATCATGGGACAAAAGGAGAGTCCCACCTGTTCTGGTAGCTCCAGTACTGAGTGTCCAGGTAGCCGGCGTGACTCTCCGGATCTCCGAAGGAAGCTTTGCTCTCAATCCAGTTGATTGGTCGTCCATTGATGGCTGCACACACATATGTAAATATTCCAGCACACACATATGTAAATATTCCAGCACACACATATGTAAATATTCCAGCACACAAATATGTAAGTATTCCAGCACACACATATGTAAATATTCCAGCACACAAATATGTAAATATTCCAGCACACACATATGTAAATATTCCAATATGCAATTATCCATCGAGGCTGGTTGTGTTTACAAGTATTTAAGACTTAAGCTGAGAATTCAGGTGGATCTGGTTTTTAAATCCAGTTGTGGATCTTATTCCCTAGATTAATTATTTCACTAAAATGTTGTGGGTCAAGAAGTAGCAGACTTGATAGTACATGTGACTGGAAATTTTTGTTATCTCTTAAATTATAGAAATTCTATTTTTTTATTTATTTTTTGCTTGTCCCTAGTACATGTGGTACAGGCCATGATAATCATGGTGGGTAGAAGTAAGCAATTACTTTTACTGTAAGTACACCACATGTCTACACATGTGAAAAGCAGTTCGACTTTGCAGTTACAAATATGCCAGAGCCCCGTTTGATTACTTGTACTCGCTGGTGGGGTTGGATTTTTTTCAAGAATCAGGAGCCATTGGAGCATTTTTTTTTTTAATCGGAAAAAAGTGCCCAATGCGGGAATCGAACCCAGGTCGTAGCTGTCGAAAACCAACAGTTTAGACCATCCTTCTACCGATCCCCTATTTATATATATTTTTTATTTAACCCAGAAACAGCACCATAGAGATAACAGGTATAATTGTACTTGACCATTGACCACTGTTCGCGCATGGCAATGTGTGAGAGATAATAAGCTTGTTATCTTTCACCTCTCGATTGGAACACCCAGTCATGATGGTTGTCAAACAGACACCATCAAGGGTCACAACTTGATACCCTAATACAGTGATTCTCAACCAATGTGCCGCGGTAATTTTGTGTGCCGCGAAATTCTAAAAATGTGCCGCCGAATTTTAGTCATATGATTATGTTCACGTTTGTATTGGTTTTCTTTTTTTCTTTTTCATTTTTTTACTTTTTAAAATAACGAAATTAGCAAATTGAATGTTAGAGATGTATATTACTTATATTTTGCATAGAAATATTGATACATAATTTGAATTTTCTTGCATTCAAGTTAGCAAAAGTGTGCCGCAAAATTCTAAAATTGTGCCGCCAAATTTTCAAATCTTTAAAATAATGCCGCAACAAAAAAAAGGTTGAGAATCACTGCCCTAATATGATTGAGTGGAGATAAGGAAGAAGAAGACCTCTCGATTGGAATACGCCTTGATGGAAAACTTTACAAAATGTCACAGCAGCAACACCA